CAGTTACGCCTTTGAATAAGAGATTATTTAAATGATCTTCTTATTTAAAGAATCATCTTCTCTAATTTTCTTTACGAGCAAGTTTTATATGTTGAACAAAGATTTCAAACGAATATTTTTTCTATAAATGTTGACGCTCATATCGCTTTTTTGTCTTAGAATATTCTGAAAAATTAACTTTTAAAATAACTTCGGTAATGTTTGAATTATATTTAACGTTGATTTATCGATCTCTGACGAGGAAACGATCGCCAAGTGTGACCGTTCGTTTTCAATCGATTTTATACTAGTTTGTAAAGCTCGATCAATTTGTCAACGATGGCATAATGCCTTCTTCCCTATAGACTTTATTTGACGAATTAGGTCAATATCAACTACAGGAACGAAATTATTCTAAACTCTTATTTCAGAAATTTTAATTTTTATCTTAATTTAGTTGTTAACATTGAAAGCTTTAACAGTGGATGCACCTACATTAAACTTCTAAATTTATGGAATTGAACTATTTTTTGTTTTAAACTGATCATGCTTCGTCTGGGAATACTATTTTAAAGGCATAATAATTAAAGTTGTGTAAAATATCTCGTTTTCAATAGTCTGCACTCTATTTTCTTTTTTTTTTCTCATATGTTTACATGTAAAAGTCCAATAGATAAATTCGATTATTTTAAAGATAATCAACATATATTTTAAATATATATCCTAAATAGATGAACATTGAATTGAAATCAGATAGATTTTCAAAATAAAATAGTTGAATGCTGTAGATTGATAGTACTCATCATATTGAAATAGTCATAGGATAGATCTTGTTTAAATTTCGATTTATGTTCAATGTCTACAGTTAATCTAAGGCATCGAATTCAGTGTTTAAGTTTTCAATGGTGAGAACTAATCTAACAATAATATTAAAATGTCTGAAATAACAGCTTTCAATTCATTTTTCTCTTGTTGAAATCGGTCTACTTATTCATAGGCAATAGATGGAGAAGAATGATTTATCCCATCTTGATCAGCTCATCGCACTTTACAAATTGGCATAAGGTTCATTAAAAAGGGATACACACATGTTTAGAATATATCCTCGTAATTAGAGAGTATATTGACAAGTGATGATACTGATTAAAATCAAATAAAAACGTTTCAAGTTCAAATATCGAATGGATGAACCATAAAGAATAAGTTTGTCAGTAGTTGTCAACTATTTCGAGAAGTTTTCTTTTATCTGTTGGAACGAATATTTAAAAAAAACGAATCATCTTTTAACTCTCTACAACAAAAACCAATTTCTATTTGGTTAAATACTTCAAACAATTTTGTTATCAGATGAAACAAAACGATTGAGTTAATTCTTACAACTTTCAAAGATAAGATTTATTTCCTTAATGTTGTTTAATTCTTCATTATAGACGTGCACGGTTAACTTTTTTTTTCATGACATTATTATATTCTACTGTTGCAACGATTGGGTTACAATCTATAACTTTATTCTTCTATTAGGATATTTTTCCTTTAACTTTCCTTCAGTTTATGAAATCGATGAAGTTGTCTGATGGGATGATTTTCTAAAAAGACTTATTTAACGTAATTAACTAAAATAGAAATAAGGATTTTTTTCCAAATTATTAAAAGACAAATCTTTTTTTCAAAAAAACTTCTTCAAATAGATAAAAAAAACCAAATGATTAAGATATTTAAAAAATCTGTCGAAGGTTATATGTTTATGGTCTACGATAACTTACCTACTGGAATCATACATAATATATTAAATAATAAATATCGTTATCTTTATAAATCGTATCATTAAACTATTCGAAAAATAAATATCTAAAATATCCGAATATTTTCATGTTTTTTATTCAATAAAATTGATTAAATAAATAAATTCTATTTATCATATTTATTTAATAAAAAAAATCGAATATTAAACGATTATATTCTTTCGTATATTGTTATCTAGTGTTAGAATTTGTTTACTTTAATAATAATAGAAATAAACCATTATCTATATAAAGCGACATGAAATAACGAAAGAAAAAAAGAAATTCTTGATTTTTTTATTTTTGTTGAGAATAAAGAATACCTAGAGAACGAATACAAATATCAATCAATCATTCGGTTTTTTTTTCAGAAAAAAACGAAGAAAAAATAAGTGAATAAAAATGTTCAAGATAATCTTGAGGTATTTCACCATCATATTCAATAATATATTCAATATCTTCTATCATCTTCATCATAAATAAGTCGATAATTAGGTAATGGTAGATTTGGTATATCAGTTAATGTCCAATCTAATATAAAACTAATTGAATGTCTTATTGTTCCATAATATGTATTTCTATTTGTTGTTGTTGATAATGATAATTTGATGAATTTGATGATTGTTGACTTTCTCTATCAATTTATCTTGTTAGTGATTGAATTATAGCAGCAGCAGTAGCTGATGATAAAGATGATTGATATTCAAGGTAAGGTAGCTATTTTAATTTCTATTTAATATCGATCAGTTTATGTTGAATTTATATTTTTTTAAGATTTTTTATTTCTATCAAATATTGATCGAATATTTACTATTGTTATGAGAGAAGAACAACAAGGTGTTAGTTGATCTGTTGTTGTTGTATTATTTGATGATGTTTTAAGTAAAAGTATTATTAATTTTGATGGAATAATAAGATGATAAGGTGTGGGTGTGGGTGTGGGTGTGGGTGTGGGTGTGGGATGTGGGGTAGGTGGTGTGGGGTGTGGGTGGGTGGGGGAGGTGGTGTGGGGGGTGGGGGGTGTGGGTGGGTGTGGGACGTGGGGTGTGGGTGTAGTAAGAGAGAATAGCAACACCCACACCCTTTTCATCTTCAAGCTTCTTCTTAGCTAATATGACGTTCTTTTCGTCTTCTTCAACCATCATCTCTTCTTCTTCGATTTTCTTTTTATATTCTTCGATCTTTTTCTTTTTATCTTGAATCTTCTTCTCTTCATCGACAATTCTTTGTTCTTCTTTTTCTAATATCTTCAACTATTGATATTTCTGATACTTTTAATCAACAATCCCATCAAGTGTTGCTTGAAGGTCATTAGATGTTGATGAAGGTACCTAAAATAGAAACAGATCCATGTTTTTTATGAAAAAAAAAAGAAGAGTTCATCTTTCAACTGTAAGATTCAATGAAACTGGATATTCGATCTTTGTGGAATATGATAAAGAAATTTATCCAATTAATACTTATTCGAATAATGATTATAAAATGAATATCGATAATGAATCGATATGCTAGAGGTTGAAGAGAATATTTCAACATAATAAAATCATAAGGCAATATATGAATTCATTTTTTATAATCTAATAGCGATTGTCTGACTGGTTCATGGTTATACAAAGCTCTATCAATAATAGTTTTTCACTTAGTTCTACATAGTTTTTTGCTATCTATTCTATGACGGTAGAAGGTGATAGTAATTGAAAAATTTTGATCGAAAAATTTTTGTCTTACCAATGAACGGCACGTTTTTGACTGAACAATAGGTTTGTTATCTGTCACACGACGTAAGAAGAGTGTAAAAGTTGTGTGTTTTCTCCACAGCAACAAGAATATGAGAGCGATGTAGAGAAGGTCACTGACCAAGGATCCGACTATTCGTCGTAAAGAATGAGCACAAAAAAAAGGAAGAAAAAAATTCAACCATATTTTTTCTTCTCGCGTTGTCTCCCTCTTCGATATTCATCTTCTTGTTAGCCGTGTGTTTGACCGACGTAATCTTTCTCCTATTCTCACTTTTTTTCTATGTTCATCATCATGGAGAAAAATATGTTGAAAAACAGGAAGAAAATACGAGCTCTCACTATTTTTTGCATGCATATACAGGGTTCATTCTGAAATGCGATGACAAATACTATCAGTTCCTTTCCGTTCTTTCATTCGATAGTAGAGAAAAATACAATTCTCTCTAGTATAGAATTTTTGATCAAGTGAGGACAATTGGTTTAGATCGAAAAAATTCGATGAGATATCGAATTGAAGGAAGAATTGAAATCGAGTTTTCCAAAAACTTTCTGAAGAATACTCCCATAAGTGAAATAGAAAAAAGAAGAAATTGATGGTAGACAACAAATAGTTAGATTCATTCTATAGAGAAAACTCTTTAAAAGAAAAAAAAATAAGACAAAAATGTACAGGTTTGTTTTCTCTTGTTCTCATCTCTTTTCGTCTATGAAAAAATTTCTGTAAGATAGAAGAATTCTATGAATAAACAAGGAAAAGAAATAAATAACCGATACTAGGCATTTCAAATGATCTACAACTCGATATTGAAGAATCAATATATATTTTTGAGAATATGAATGCTAATATTCGAGTTTAACAACTGAATCCTTTCTAATACCTATGAAACAAACGATATGTCGATTTATTGACAAGTAAATGTAGACGAGAAATTCATATGAATATTCGAGATTCGTAAAAAACTGACGAAGAGATCATTTTTATTCATTTGTTTGCAACTCTTTCGAATCTAAGCTAATGATAACGAAAAATTTTCTATCATCTTAATCAATTAAATAAAGAAATCTTTTGATTTAAGTAAAACCTAAGTCATTCAGTTTTAATATTGAAAATAATCGGCATCGATCAATAGATCAAGAGAATAGTTCTTCTTGTTATTCTTCTTGCTATAAATCTCAACGGTCAATCTGCCATTTCTTCTATGTTTGGTCAATTCGAATTTAACATCTTATATTAAAATATCTAGTCAGATATAAATTAGGTAATCCACAAATAATTGTCATCATGTATAGAAATAAAGACAGAATATTGAAAAAAGATAAGAAAAAAAACCTGCTCATATTACTTGTTCATGTAAAGATGTTGGAGTTTGATTTTGCCAAACTTCATCTGGTTTCAATTGAGTTCGTCGTGATATTGCCGGTGGATTTGTTTTTTCTTTTTTAAAAATTGAGCTTAATTGTTTCATTTGATGATCAGTCAATTGTTCTGAAAGGAAATAAATAATAAAAGGTGATCAGAAAAGAAAAGTATTCTTCTGTACATTAAACTTGTAGAGATAGGTTTACGAATTTCGAACAATCTAACTTATAGAAAGATGTTAAGGATAAAATAGAATAACAAAATAAAAATCCTATATCAAAAAATTTATCATCAAATGCAGAAATTGATTATTTGTTATGGAAATCGAATTATCATTCGAAGTCGAAACTCGACTTGAATTGGATATTTATTTCGTCTAAGTTTTTCCATTTCGTTTTTTTTTTTCGTTCGTTTCTATCCATAGATTATATTCGTTGTATTCGCAACCATTTCAAATTAAACATCGATTAAATTGAATAAAGATGGAGCTAACAATTCAACGTTTATCATTGTTTGAAACATTTCACAGAAAAATATCTTTCATTTCAACGTATCGTCCTATCAATTCATATTCACGCTCGTTATTACGATAGAAAAGATCTTGAAAAGATATTTTAAAAAAAAGGCAACTTGATATTGAAAGAAGAACTCAGTTGAATATCACACCATTACTTTATAATCATCTAGCAAATGGTTATTTTTATCAGATTCTTGTTTTTACTGGTCAGTATGTTCGGATTCGAACTAGCATTAAATCGAAAGTTCAATTTTAATGAAGAAAATTCGTAACGATAATTGATCGACGTTTTTCTTTAGATTCATTTGATTTTATCTTATGAAATAATCAAACAAGATTGGGAATTTTAGTTGATCTAGACATTGGTCGATTCTTCGACGTGATTCTATCGATGTCTTTGTTCTCTTTATTTCAAAATAAAAACTGTTCGTTTTTTTCTCTTTCAAATTCAACAATGATTTCATTTAGATTGTTAGGATTATTGAATTATATTCGTATATTTAGTACGATAATTTTGATTTAGATTGATCGTGAAATACGTATGAAATTCCATCGACCATCAATCGCTTGATCCACGTTGATTACTTCATTTTCGTCATTCGTATTCATCATAAACATTTCATATTGATTTACCATTAATCGATATTCTCTCTCTCAATTAGTTTATTATCATATTTTTCTTTTTCTAACATTTCTTTTTCTACTGTCTTATATTGTTCATTTTCAAATCAAATCAATGAGATACATGTTTCGACTTATCAGATATATCATTTATCTATGTTTATGCTTTAAAAAAAA